TAGCCACGAAAAGTATTAAAAGGTCCAAATCATCACCGAGAAGAAGTTCAAGACGGTAGAATAAACAGTGACATATCGCAAGGGTCGTTAACGAAACGAAATGTAGCTTCCACGTACTGGAAAATTTCGTTTGGAAACCAGTCGGACGTATGGTGGTTTTAAGCGAGTGTTGCGAATCCCAGTGTAGTCTGGCAGCCGGCCTCCAGCCGGAGAGATTGGATCCCGGAAATGAGACAAACCTATGGAACTCGAAATCTCTGGCTGAAATGGCGCGGCGGATAGAGGCGAGCGGTGCTTACCTCGATAGTCGTCGTTATCCAACGATGAATCTACTCTACGATATTCTCTCCCTTCGACCCGATTCTCTCTATCTCTCTCTCTCTCTCTCGGTCTCGGCTTCGTTCGTTATCGTCCGCGCCTCTCGCCCTTCACGACGCGTTCCGACGACTCTCCAACTTTACCGCCAAAATTATGGGATCAGGCTGGAGGATCCAGCGTCACGGCCGGAAGGAGCGTTGTTGCGCGGTCACGTTCTCTTACGAGAGAAACTCCCCCGCGAAATCGAGGGAGAACGCGCGGGGATCAAACGCTGTATGGTTGCGTGTCACGTGTAAATACTGTAAGTCTGATAATAAGTTGCTCGTAAGTTTTGTTCTACGTGGAAGAGACGGGTGTTTAGGTGTCGCTGGGTATGGTTACACAAATGCAAGATTGTAGATGTAGTTTTCGTTGCACGAGGTTGCACGTTGTTCTCCTCAGTTTCTCTATTGTTATAAATGAAACATCGATACATGTGTACCTCAAGAAAAATTAGAAACAAGGATGACTAACTGTGACACGATCCAATTATTGGATATTTTTGTGTAAATTTTGCGTATTTTTAAGAACGGAAAAGAATTGGAAAAGTAGAGTTACTCTCCTTGCTGAATTTTTGTGTAATATTTCATTTGTAATTTTATAATATTTATTTATTTAAGAGACACGTGTACCAAATATTTGGGCACCATCTAGTGTTTGCATGGACGTGTTATTGATGTAGTATTAATTCGATTATTATGCAGCTGTTCTCCTCTTTTTTTTATCATTAAATATCATATTCATATTTTGGAAAAATATGATCGTACACTAAATGTCACAAAATAATATAATGTATTCTTTGCATTATACCATACACATTCTGCAATTTAATAACATCCATTTGAGTCATTCCGAGAAAAATAGCAGGGTTAACCCTTTCGTTGCTGTGTAGCCTTGCTACCGCGCAAAATTAAATTTCATTCTTAGTGTTCGTGTTTCTCTTTCTTAAATTTTTAGCGAAATTCTGACATGAAAATTTGAACACTAGATCCTCGAGGTTTTATCACGCATTTTTTTATTTATCGGGAAATAAACTGTCATTTGACAACAAATTGACCGTCGTGCGAAATTCGTCAAAATATCGACAAAAAAAAAACCAGTGAAAGCGCATTTTCCACGCTACGATTTTTAATAATCAAATCGGCAACGTGCCCGGTTCGAAGTTCGGCACGAACGACCGAGCACGTTCTTACGGAATCTTTTCATCCGTGCACGCGAGGTAAGACACCGACGTTTTCCAAACAACCGGAGATAAGTAAATAGACGAGGATCGAAAGACGGACCACGGACAGGGTGTATGGTGAAGGACGATCGTCGGGTACAAGGAACCCTTGGCGAAGGGGAAAAGGGGACAGCGACGCGGACCGGTGGATACGTAGGTATTATTATACTTCGCTACAGTCATATTTATAAATCAGCGATATAGCAGGACGAACCAGAGACGCGGAGGGATGGAATTTATAGCTTCGTTCTCTTTCCTCTGTTGCCGGTTCCTGGTCACCCCTCTCCGCCAGCGGGCGTCCCCCTCGTCTTCTTCACCCTCCGACACCGCTCATTCTACCACCAGGGCCACCCCTTCCGATATCCTCGCGCTCTCGCGCTCCTCGGGAGTATCTCACGCTCGCCGTCCTCCTCTTATTCACCGATTCCCTCTCCCCTCCCCCTACGGTCTCTCTCGTCTCGTCCTGCTCGCTAGATTCTGTCGTCCCGTCTCTCTCGCTAGACTCGTAGCCTCTCTGGACGGAGAGTGCGCGGGCATACAAACTGCCAAGGCTGTACGTATGAGCTTAGGTCGACATTTTCCCTCCTCTCTTTGGCAATAAATCTGCGAGTCTTTTGAGCCGACGGCACGGTTTGGGGAAGAGAGGTTGTTGGGCGCCGGGGGTAGAAGAGAGAGAGAGAGAGAGAGAGAGAGAGAGAGATGGTTTCGGGAGCACGGTTCGTACCGTTCCTAGGGTACCAGAGGTCGACTTCTCTTTCTCCGTCTTTCTCCCTTTCGACCTCTCGTCCCTGCCCCCCCCTTCCTTTCTCTCTCTCCCTCTTTCACTCGCGTC